CTCATGACCTTAATGTTTGATTCAGGGGTGATATTGAAAGGAGAAATTAGATGCAAGTCACTCTCAGGGATTAAGGGATTAAGGCAACTGTGAGATGAAAAATATTCTCTTGCTTTTCTTAATTGATTTAAAAGATATGTGTTATATTTGGCCACTTTGATGCCTTAGGTAACCAAGTGTGACAATTATAATATTCCAATAAAACAACACAAATGATGAAGTTCTCCTTGTGCCAGTTCTGCTACTGATTTGAAGTGCTGAGAACTGGGAGAGAATCAAACTGATGGTCAAAACATGAAGTGTTTTGACGTAAACAGATATTAATGTCGTGAAAATTTGTATGAACAGTATTTTTAATTTATTTTGATTTCAGTGCAAGATGTACTGGCAACAGAAGGGAGACTATCTTGGTGTGAAAGTTGATAGATACACCAAAAGTAAAAAGGTCAGTACATGTACATGTAACTTTGTTTTGATTAAATGTACCTCCAGGCCAAGAAACCGTGGTGTTGAATATTCACTGACATGTACAGTATATTCTGTTGTTGTTTTGTGATATGAGGGTTGCTTTCCTTTGACCCATAGCGAGTGTGTGGTTTTAAACCATTTAACTCCAAGAACTGATCAGTAATCCTCCCCTCTAGCTGTTTCACACTTCCTGTTGAATTTGTTTTGAGAAACTGGTGTTAGATCAAGATTAAAAATTGTACCTGATAAGTTTAAATATTCTTATTACCTGTTTGCTGAATATTGTATGGATATTATAGGGAGAAGTTGCCCACTTATCACATCTGGGAGTTGAATGGTTGGGACACTTTCTCACATTAGCTGCTATATCTTTTTACAGGGGCTGTATTACAACCTTGAGCTTTTCCGTGTGCGAGAGCGGCAGATTCCAGTTGATGTTGTGGAAATGAAAGGTAGGTTAAAACTTAAAGCAAATCTTTTATGTCTGCACCAGCTTAGAAAATTCTGGTTCACTTTGACCTCTATACCTCAACATCAATGTGTGTATTCTCCCTACTGTTCACTATAAATTTCTGAAAGGGGTTGAAAAGAGAATTTGTATTTAAATTTGTGGAAGCAGTCGAGAGCTTCTTCAGTTGGTGATCATTTCCTTTATTCTCTCTACCTTAATGTGTGATTTGGGGTTGATATTGTAAGGAGAAATTAGATGCTAGTCATTCTTAAGGTGATAGTCAAAAGGCTGAAAAAGCACGTCTTGCCACTTACATGTACTTGACTAGTTGTCTTGAATTTGTTCTGTTTACAGAGGCTGTTACTGCTTTTTCGTGGGAACCAGGCGGCAGTAAATTTGCCATAATCCATGGTGAGAGTCCCAGAATATCAGCCAGCTTTTACAACATGGAGAAACAAGGCAGTGTTTCACTTCTAAGTAAGTACACACTTGGTATTTTATTGTGAAAATCAGCAACTACTGTACTGTTGATTTTGGTCGGGAACTGTGATTGATATCATCAAAAAGAATTGAAGTATCATCATTAACAGAATTTGATATGATCTACTATTTATACCAATATGTCATCTTAAAAAGATCAATAATGTGAAAGTTGTAAGACCACATTATATAGTCTTTCTCGCATGTAATTATGATGACTTATATGATTTTGTTGCATGACAATCTATGTTTCCTGAAAATGTAAAGATTATTGATCATGTTGTCTGATTGTCCAGGTGAGAGTAGTTCTGAGAATGGCAGCCATTCTTTGTTGTTTTGATAGTTGTGACTGATTAGCACAAGTCACTATCAGAGTCAAGTGAGGAGTTTTTATCGGTTGAGTGTTTATAACATGACTCCTCTGGTGCAATAGCTTCAAATGAAAGTTATGACATAGAACAAAGCAAATGATGAAATTCTCCTTATGCCAGTTCTGCTACTGAATTGAAGTGCTGAGAACTGGGAGAGAATCCAGCTGATGCTCAGTGCTGTGTCTAATTTCAAAAAGGATAATGATTCCCTCTGAGGTACATGCATTTATTGCTTGTGTTGAAAATTATTTGATTTTTTCTTTTTTTTTGTATACAGAAACATTTGATAAGAAGCAAGTAAACAGTATATTTTGGTCACCAAATGGACAATTTTGTATTCTTGCTGGTCTTAGAAAGTAAGTACTATATGGCTTATACCTGGAAGAACCCTTTG